TCCTGCGCCAAAACAGTCTGACGGGCCTCTGTCAACACAGTGAAACATGAATCCATTCATTACAGATCCTCGTGGACTTCCCTGAGCTGTGCTAAACAACTTTACCTAAACTGACTCGACTAAACCCTTTTGTCATGACCGCCAGCTCCATCTATCATACAAACAGGATATTTCTTTGTTGGGTCTGTTTGTTTATTGGTTGCTTATCTCCAGGTAGTCTTCCAAGCAAGACAGCACAAACATGACCTGGAGGAAGGAAGCAGTTTTCCTGAAAAAAAAAAATCCATTCAACACCCCATTATCCTTTTCAGTCCTGACGAAAGGAAGCAAGTAGTTAAAAATGGACCGTTTTACTTAAGGGGGCAAATGAAGACACCAGTTCAGTCAAGAGGAACAGCGACACCTGATCCACGGAAGAGGGAAGAGAAAAGTCTGACTCTAAACATTACATCCGTGTGATGACCTGAGCTTGGATGTAGGACCCGTGAGGACACTGAGCACAGTAAGACGTTTAACATGTTTATTAAAACAATTCAGGAGTTTGTCACCAACACTGCAGAGAGGGATGGCTGGGTTGTAGTGAGGCGGAAGCGTGGGTCAGAATCAGGGAGACGGCTGAGACGTGGTCAGGTGGAAGCGTGGGTCAGGACCAGAGATGACGGCGAGAGATCCGAGGAGGCAGGCGAGAGCTCGAAGCGAGGGGACAGATCCATTGTCGATAATCTGGGAAATCCAATAGCGTGGTGGGAACGAGGCAGGGGTCCAAAGCAGGGGCGAGGCAAGAATCCGGGAGACAGACCCAGGTCGAGATATGTGAGACAGACGATGGATGGAAGGCTGGAGAATTTACTAGCTGTGGCGTTCAATAATCCGGCACTGGTTGGAGAGCAGGCTGGGTGTTTTATAGCAGAGGAAGCAGGTGTGTGGCATGAGCTGATCTAGGGTTGGGCATCGAGCAACGATTGGAACCGGGACCAACTGTTAGTTTTTCCCGGAATCGTTCAAAGATTTTTATTTCGATCCCTAGTTTCGATTCCAAGAATGCTGACCGGAAGAGGAATCCGCGGCCGAGCTCCATGAAAAATAAAAGTGATCTGTAAATTTCGATCATCATCTTTTCAGAGCTGATCACACCAGCTGTCTGTGTGCAGCACCGAGCCCCCCCCCCCCCCCCAGCGGCCAAATATAAACAAACGCATCTGCTGAACTTTTACTCCGTAATGTAAGCTTTAAAGCTTTAAAGAACAAACTCTGGACGGTGTGAGGTGAGTTTGTCTCACTGCAGAGATAAAAACACACACGGAGCGCCAGCAGTCAGACGCAGCCACTCACCAACACTTGTGTGTGTGTGTGTGTGTGTGTGTGTGTGTGTGTGTGTGTGTGTGTGTGTGTGTGTGTGTGTGTGTGTGTGTGTGTGTGTGTGTGTGTGTGTGTGTGTGTGTGTGTGTGTGTGTGTGTGTGTGAGAGAGAGCGTCAGGAGGCTGAACAATAACCTGTAGAATAATTAAAGTCATCGTGCTAGAGCAGCTTTCTCTGTGGTGGACCACACCAGCTTCTGCCACAATCAATAATAATGATGATAATAATAATAATAATAATAATAATAATAATAATAATAATAATAATAATAATAATGATAATAATAATAATAATAATGATAATAATAATAATAATAATGATGATAATAATAATAATAATAATAATAATAATGATGATAATAATAATAATAATAATAATAATAATGATAATAATAATAATAATAATAATAATAATAATAATAATAATAATAATGATAATAATAATGATAATAATAATAATAATAATAATGATGATAATAATAATAATAATAATAATAATAATAATAATAATAATGATAATAATAATAATAATAATAAAATCACACACAAAGTTGTGAACATTTTAATTTCCTTTCTGAACTATTTCTGTTGAGAGTTTTAATGTTTAAAATATGTTAGATTGTTACTGACAGCAGCCAGGGGCGGATTTAGGACTGAAGAAGATCCGGGGCTTAACACACGCACGCACGCACGCACGCACACACACGTGACACGCACTAGTCAACATATATATTTGTCTTGTACCACATAATTTTTAATCTGAAGCTACATATTAAGCATATTCAGGGCAGAGTATTGTTCCTGTTAGTGTTTAGTGTGAGATGATAGTAAATATTCCCTTTCTTTCTCCAACATCTGTACCTGATAGTAAGCTGACTTTAGGCAAACCAGCAGCACAACAAATATTTTCAAATAAGACTCACAAACCTGAGTCAACACCAGTCTCATCAAAGGTGGGGTTCTGTCGTTGTACTTTTGGTCTAAAAAGCGTCCTTATGTCCATCTTCACTCATGCGTTTCAGGCAGAGAGTGCAGAAGAAGCCGGCTGCTGAAGGGCTTCTTCTTCAGTGCAGGCTGTATACAAACTACTGCCAGCTGCTCCCTCTCTGTTGGACTTTGGTACTGCATGTTACTTCCGCGTTTGAGATCCGGGGCTTTTCATTAAAGATTCGGGGCTTCAGCCCAAGTAGCCGGGCCTAACGCCGCCCCTGACAGCAGCTACATTTGTTTCACTTCCTGTTCTAACTGAATGCTGCTGCAGCATGGAGGTGTAGTTCTCAGTCATCCTGGACATGATCATCATGAGAGCTTTAGCTGAAAACAGCTGGATGTTTCTGGATTTGTTGGAGACATTTAGCCTCTCATCCCAGAGGCTTCTTCCAGACTTTGGTTGTGGTCAGAAACAAACACACTGGTTGTGCTGCAAGTCTTTTTCTTTTTTTTCTCCAAAACATGTTTTTGTCAGCTCACTCCCCATGGGGATGGGTCAAATGCGGAGATGAATTTCACCAGTGTACGTTGATGACTATGGGACTTTAACTTTAAATCATGACAGTTTAAAATGAATTGATTGGTTTTTACAAATGCCGGTTGTTTTAGCAACATCTGCCGATGTCATCTCCTGCTGAGTTACAACCAAACAGCATGAGTTAATCCCAAATTCCACTCAGCAACTCTTTACAGTACCTTTACCCAGCGCAGGTACTCTGTTGGTTCTTGAAAACGCCCCGGAAAAAGGTCTTTTTGGCCAGGCTGGTGAAGTGGAGATACACGCAATCCCCAGTTTTGGTCAAATTACTCTGAAGTTCCGATATTGGAAACACACCTACTAGCAGCTTAGAGAAGGCTAGAGCTAAAGACATCGCCGTCAGCTCAGGTGCGTAGTGACGCACACGCATCAACTGAGGCGTTTCTCTTTCTCCATTTCCTGTGGAGTGATGCAAAGCAATTTCCCGCCAGACAACTGGGGACATAGTGCCTTGCTGGAGGGTCTGGCCACAGTTAGTCTTTTCGCTGACCCATGATGGTGTATTTTTTATTGTGAACTATTTCTATTGTGTGTGTGTGTGTGTGTGTGTGTGTGTGTGTGTGTGTGTGTGTGTGTGTGTGTGTGTGTGTGTGTGTGTGTGTGTGTGTGCTAGCTGTTCCGAATGCACGTTTAAGAAGCCGTGGAGAAAGGGCTTTCTCTGTCTGTGCACCCAAGCTGTGGAACGCATTACCACTGCTAGTGAGGCTAGCACCAACAGCTAGCATTTTTAAATCACGCATGAAAACTCACTACTTCAACCTAGCTTATACCACATAATTATGAACCTCACTTACAACTACATTGTTTAAAAATGGAATGCACAATATCAACTTCCGTATTATTGGGGTTCTTTTTTAAAATGTTTTTCTTATTTTTTATATTCTCCCTGTGTTTTATTGATTTTTAACTGTTAGTTCTAGGAATTTTGTTGTTTTTTTCTTTTTATCTTTTATCTCTGTTCTACATGACTGTCTGACGCCAGTTTAATTAACTAACATTTTTAGTGTACAGCGCCTTGTTTGGTTGTAATGCCTTGGTGAATGCGCTTTATAAATAAAATGGTATGGTATGGTGTGTGTGTGTGTGTGTGTGCGTGCGTGTGTGTGTGTGTGCGTTTCAGAGACTTTTTAACATAGTCAAATTTGTCCCTCGTTCTCTTTCACCCGATCATGCAGTCGCTACCTCCAAACCCACATTCCCCACAATTTCAATCCACCAATTTAAAGTTGTCACGGCTGCCAGCCTTGAGTGAGGAGCAGGAGCCAAGATCATCAAGCTCCAGTGAATCAGCCTGACACCGCCCCTCCTCCTCCTCCTCTCTCCCGGGCTGCTGAGGAGCACAGCTGAACTGAATCTACCTGATGAAGCACACACCTGAACTGAATCTACCTGATGAAGCACACGCCTGCATAAAAGGGCTGTGCCTTCAGCAGTCTGGGAGGCAGCAGTGCAGGGGTTCTGCTGCCCTCCTGGTTTTTTTTTTTGTGTGTTTTCAACCCCTTTCGTTTAGACACATTTGGATTTGTTTGAGTTTTAAACTTTGGTTTGGTTTTTAACTCTTAGTAGAAGTTTGGGATGATCCAGTGGGATCTTTTGTGTGTTTGGGTTTTAAGGTTAACTTGGTTTGTGCAATTTCACTGACTTTGGTTTTAAACACCTTCGTGTGGGTAAAGCTTTTAAAATAAGCTTTTACCAGGTGTTTTAGTTAGTAAATTGTTTGGGACTTTTATCAACTTCGGGCTTTTAGAACACCTTCGTTTCGGGAAACTTTTAATTTAAGTTTCTACCAGGTGTTTTTGTAGTTGATAATTCGTGATGTTAACCTTTTAGAGAGATCATTTTGCTTGTGTTTTTAATACCTTTTTGTACAAATAAACCCATTTTAAACTCCTCCGCCAGTTTTTATGTTACCCCCATCCTCCACATTTTACCATCTCATGTCGGGGACGTAACAAAAGTCTACCATGGGAGGTTGCATGATTGTTGACGTCATTAGACTTCTTCTATGAGATGTTCTTCAATCTGCTCCATGTCTGCTGTTAGATATCTAACACTCGTTTTACATGTTCTCCCAGCACCGTCTTAAACGTGTAAGTAGCAATCACAAGTCTTACCTTCTGTGTCGAAGTCGATGGTGTGACAGTCTGCTTGGCTTAGACTCCACGGGCAGTAGAACACAGACCCTCCCTCTGTAACATTCAACTGCCTTGTGTTGGCTTTTGGTGCACCAACAACCAAACTCGCGCTGTAAAAGAGACACAGGCAACCGTTGTTTGGTTCAGAGGTTAAAAAATAACAAAAGCTCAGCCACTTAACCAGCTGCCAGACCTTTACCAAGGTTTCTGGCTCTCAGCCTGGTGCCTTCCAGGTCTGTTTCCCGGCAGCTTCAAACATGATGCAGTGCTCATCCCGCAGCCAGAGAGCTAGAGGTGATCGGGTTTTTAACCTCTCACGCCACTGCTGAAACCTGCCACTATCACACGAGCACATGTGACCCTAGCAGACCCGTTCTCTGCACTTGAACTTTGTTCAGAGGCACAATGAGAAACACTTACATGGTCACGCATTCTCCCGGGGGGCCATGATTCAACAGGAAAACAAGAGAGCAGACAGGCTAAGTGGAGTCACACTTTTGTTTCTACAGCTGGGGTGCTGAAGAAGTGTCCTTGGAGCTGAGTTGTACGGCTACAGAAAAGGCAGCCAAGCCACTTCAAAAGGCACTAAAATCAGGGAGGCAGTTTACAGGTGAGCACACTGGGCAGAGCTGAGAGATGAAAGGGATCAGGAAAAGACAGAGTGATGATATGATAATGGAGACAATCAAGTTTTGGACTAGGATAAGTGCAGGAAGAAAGATTCTACAGTAGATAATGTGGTTTAAGTGGATGGTTTCACCATTACCTCATTGTGGAACCGCTTGACCCAACAAGCTGCCCAGACGCAGCGCCAGTCACTCTGATCTGGGCAAGGGACCACTGAGACCAGACAATGTCTAGAGCGCTTAAAAGCAGGAAGAGCGCACCCTTTCCTGGCCTAGATTTCCCAATAGTTTACAAACAATTACCTTTAGACTAAACTTAGCATCCTGCCACCCCAAGCTGTGCAACATACGGCCTCGTAACCTACCGTCATTCTTCTCACTAAACTCTTGTTACATTAGGTGAGACAATGCAGGACAAGTTTGGAGATTGTTTGAGGAAAACAAACTTAATCCTAACCCTAGCTACCTCAGATCAGAATGCGGAGAACAAAAAAGTGAGTTGTGTTGGACGGGACAAAAATATGCTGACGTGTTCAAAGAAACGAAGTTATTATCACAAAAGAGTCTTTGAAATGCTCTTATATTTTTCTGGCCTGTCGTGTGTTGTTTAAAAAGTCAGCTCAAGTAAAGACTGCAGAAGAAAGACCAATAACACACATAACAGGAAAGCTTCCTTTATAACGGAAGACCCTGTTGCTCTAGGCTCTAACGTTCAATGAGATTGTTACTATGTGCACCTGTCATTGACAATTCATCCACATCTGTCTGAAGAAAAACACATTTCAAACCCACAAGCACAAATTATACAAACACTTTTAAGGCCTGTGTTTCTGAACAAACTTGAAAAAAAAACAACTTCTATAGAGGAAAAGTAAATGATCTACAAGCACGTGTATGTAATAAAATGACACTGCTTGGGGAAAGATGCACAAGGCTGACAAAAGCAAAAACCGCAGCATTTTATGTTTAATCAGAGCTGAGCGGAGTCCAGCTACAGCTGGTGATGGCAGCTTTTCAAAGAGTCAAAGTTACAGGAAACAGATAAAAAGGTTTTTTCGCTTTAATCAGAAAGTTGGCAGCTGAGGCTGGTTTTTACTGTTTTACACTGATGCATGCAGATGTGCAAATACAAATTCCCCCTCTAATGCGTGCATACACACACAGAGAGAGAGAGAGAGAGAGAGAGAGAGAGAGAGAGAGAGAGAGAGAGAGAGAGAGAGAGAGAGAGAGAGAGAGAGAGAGAGAGAGAGAGAGAGAGAGAGAGAGAGCTCCATTAATGAGGAAAAAATTTGCATTTAAGGGGCCTCTTATCTGGGGAGGGTCTGGGTCTCCCAAACACTCCCCTGCTGTTTGTTGTATGTTTTCGGTTTGCTTGGAGTTTCAACATTAGAGCTTTTGTGTTCTTGAATTTAAAGATTCTCCGTCTGTGGCCGGCTACGTGCTGCATTAGAAATTCCTGTGTGTGTGTGTGTGTGTGTGTGTGTGTGTGTGTGTGTGTGTGTGTGTGTGTGTGTGTGTGTGTGTGTGTGTGCGCGCGCGAGCCATGCAAAGATATTTTATGGGGGGGGGGGGGGGGTCTCTGCTTCAGCTGTTCAGGCGGGCAGACATTCTCATGAGGTGGGCTGAGTTCATGCTGCAGCTCCAGTGAAACAAGACAAGAAGACAAATGTGAAATATCCCAGTTTGGTGCACGCCACAAGAATGATATACTTTAACGAGACATTTCAGTCAATTTGAAGTAAGTAAGTAAAGTTTATTTACTTATCATAGAAAGAAAAAACATAGCTCCTAGGATCATTAGGGCACTCAAACTCCTCCACCACGATAAGGTGACGGTTCAAGGAGTAGAACCGCTGCTCCTCCGGATCGAAAGGAGCCAGTTGAGGTGGTTTGGGCATCTGGTCAGGATGCCTCCTGGACGCCTCCCCGGGGAGGTGTTTCGGGCATGTCCTGCCGGCAGAAGGCCCCCGGGTCGACCCAGGACACGTTGGAGAGGTTACATCTCCAATCTGGTCCGGGAACGCCTTGGGGTCCTGCCGGAGGAGCTGGTGGACAAGGCCGGGGAGAGGACGGCCTGGAGCTCCCTAATTGGGATGCTGCCCCCCGCGACCCGGACCCGGATAAGCGGAGGAAGACGAAGACGAAGACGAAGAAAGAAAAATCACAAGGAACAAAATAAATCATAAAGTCATGACATGATCATAAATACAAAACAACAAAACATCCATTTTCTGAAACCGCTTCGTCCACGCAGGGTCGCGGGGGGTGGGGGGGGGGTGGGTGGGTGGGTGGGGGGGGCTGGTGCCTATCTCCAGCGGTCAACGGGCAATCAGGCGGGGTACACCCTGGACAGAGAGCCAGTCCATCGCAGGGCAACACAGACACACACAGGACAAACAATCGCACACACACACACACACACACACACCTAAGGACAATTTAGACAGTTTAGACAGACCAATCAACCTAACAGTCATGTTTTTGGACTGTGGGAGGAAGCCAGAGTACCCGGAGAGAACCGATGTACGCACAGGGTGAACATGCAAACTCCATGCAGAAAGATCCCAGGCTGGGAAGCAAACTCAGGACCTTCTTGCTACAAGGTAACAGCTCTAACCACTGCGCCACTGCAAAATATCTTAAAATTAAAATAAAGGTAGATAAGAAAACATTGTACAGATGAAGAAAGCAAAAGATTTAAGTAAAAGCAGCTTTAAATAGTAGGGTCTTCAGCTGTTTTTTTTTAAGTGACCAGACTGCCAATAGCACATTAGGGTAAAGGAAGATCAATCCAAGTCGGGGTGCAACAGCCTGGAAGGAGCGATCACTTCAACTTTTATGTCTAGACTTTGGAGCTTCTAGAGGATTCTGGTTTGTGGAGCTGAGGGCTCGGGCTGGAGCATAAGGCTTTTCAGTAATTTAGGGAGGAGCTTGACCAGGTAGAGCCTTGAAAGTTATAGTCGGGATTCTAAAATGAACTCCAAAGTTAATGCGTAACCAGTGCAGAGACATCAGAATAGGAGTGATGGGAGTTCTGCTGTAGGGATGTCCTGATAGCGTTTTTTTACCCTCGACTCCGAGTCACTTGACTTCAAGAATCTGCAGATAGTCCCGATCCGATTCTTTCAATATATAAAAAAGAATAATGAAAGTGAAGTCCCAGTTCCTGACATTAGCGATGGGACTGCACCAGTAGCTTAAGTGTGTATTGGATACAAATGATGACTATACCGTAGTGTATCTTTATTTGCACGTCTCTCGTCGGCGAAAACCATGATTAAAAAAACAATCCATTCCCAAATATATTGAAAAATGAGCTTCCTCCCCTAACTTGCCAAAATAAAATAAACCTTCTACAAATTAAACTGCAGACTGCAGATCCCTGCAGCAGCGCAAGCATTTTAATTGATCTGCTTATTGAAAGCTTTAAGCAAGGTCATTTAAAATAATTCCTTAATATTTCTGAGCAGAGTGGCTGAAAGTGTTTTGAGTTGCAGAAGTTCACACTGGTTCTTTTGCCTAATTAATTCAACAGAGTATTGCAGCAATAAAATGATGTATCATATGTAAGTATCAGTCATTTCAAACACTGAAGAAGTGCATTTCCTTTTCATGTTGAATTTATTGACCCTTTTTGGGTCTCGCTAGATGCCGATAAAACTGTCGTGACCTGGGAGTATCTCAAAGACTGGACTGGTCGGCAGCCGCGGCTGTGCTACAGGCTTCGGCTCCAGAAAGGTCCAAGCTGGACCTCTACACCTTCTGATCTAGACGGGGACTTCCGCCAAAGGTACGTAGACCTGCAGAATGGCGTCTCAATGTGTGTAATAAATCTCCAAGCCTAGCGCAAAACATCATCTTCACTCTCATCAGAACTGATTGTTTCTCCGGATTTGCTGGTTCTGAACAACATTCCACACATACACCATTCTCAGTCTTACCTCACCTTAGTTACACCATACACCTAGTGTTAAAGTTAGTCTAGTTTCATTTGTTTAGTAATAAATCTTTAAACTTTTAAAACTTGAATCTCTCTCTTTTCTTGAAATTAATACAAAGCGTTGCTCAATCCCTGCAATAAAAAGATCCGATCTTCTGACAAAATTTACTTAAAGATCCATTACGGTGATATTTCATACTTCGTGATGTTTCACATTTTATGTTTTCTAATTAAATGCAGGAACATCTTCTCTACAGCTGTTAGAATAAAGCCGGGCGTACACTGTGTGACTTTTTCACTCGTAGCACTCAGCTTCAGCTCACACTGTACGACTTCCTCGCAGGGCAGATCTCACGAGTCATGTGCTCACATTGCACGACCCAGTTCTCGGATGCGACCTGACTGCTCACGCTGTACGTCTGGTAGCAACACGTTGGCCCTAAAAATATGCTAAAAATAGCAGTTTTTACTCAACACGTCAGACTTTCTTGTCTTGTCTTGCCTGTTGTCCTTCGGGAGTGCTGCAGGAGGACACACAGGGATT